ATCCAATAAAGTGGTCAGAATTTAGCAATTTTGACAATTTCACACAAATTTCAAAAGATGCCAATTTCCGAATAGGGTCCAGAATAAACAAAAAAGACATTCCTGGCACTAAAATAACAAGTTCTCTGTTGGTTAGTCACATCCCCAGGCCCCTCTTATATTTCTTTGAATTTTCCACTTTGAATTTTTATTCTTGCAAAAAATAGAAGATTTACTGTTATGCAGACTACTGCATTAGTGTAGAAATGGTATAAATAATATCAGCGCACTTGTAAAAGAATATTAGACTCGCCAGTTGACGTGTATTGGACGCTTGGCATGATTTGTTTACTTTTGAACTTTGATAAAAATCGAACATTTCTGCTACTTTGCGCTCAATTTCAAGATACTTTTCATTGTAAAACCAGTCAAAATCATCTCAATTTCTGTAATATGTCTCCCATTCTATAAAATGAGACCAAGAAAACTAGAATACAACAATAAATACCATACGAAAATACAGTGCAAATTTGCTGTTTTATTCCAAAAACACGTTCAAGTTTTTTTTTTTTCTCATTACGCACTGTGTGCTGCAGGATTTTTTTTTATACTGCGCACACTGGCCACATAGACCCATTCTTTCATATGTAGGCCTACCAGCTTTCTCTCATTAGATTTGAGGGCGCTAGAATTTAGGCGTACTAGTACGTCAAAAACACTGGGTCGTAAGCCGTACTAGTACGACCAAAACTCTCAAAGGGTTAAAGACCACAATACACTTTCTGTGAAACTGTCATATTAACTAAGCCCTGTTCCATTATAAACATACTTATTGTTTAACTAACAGCTGCTTACACAGCATCCTATTTGTTTTACTTGCATTCATGCAAGCCTTACAGCACTTCGCTTTATGGTATTTCATTAATGCAGCAGTTTTCAGTTACAGCCATTCTTCATTTATTCAGACTTCCTACAACAGACATACGTATTCACCACTCATGATAAGCTAAGGATAAAAATATTTTAAGGTAAGTAATATGTGTGTACCTTATCTGCAGTTTTTGGGCCTAGCACTACTGCTCACTTAACATATGATAGTGCAAACATGTTAACAGGCTTTTAAATGCATTTGAAAGTGAAAAAAGGTTAAGTTTCACTTTACAGCAGTACCACGGAACCTAACCCACTGCATTAGTAAGGTTCTCCTGTACAACTGATACCGGCAAATTTTTACCAATCTGCCAGACAAAATTTTGTGAAATTCATGAGGGACTGGTTTTTGCACATGAAGCTGGCTACTTTTTATGAGCGACTGGGTGAAAAGGGGTACCCAAAAATAATTCACAAGACAAGTCAAGCTAACTTGGAATAAATTTTAAATATAATCATCATCCCTACTCATTTTTTTTAGTTTATGAAATAGGGAAGCCATCAGGTGCGAATATAAAATTATGGGAAGTTGTAAAAATCTTCTTCCTTCAACGCAAGAAACCCAAAATATTTCTATTCCTACGCAAAATCCAAGCTAAGAACTACCTGTAGAAATGGACCACTACTGAGAGGAGACTCGTATACTGACGATGAACAGGAAATGAGTGAAATCCTAAAAGAATAGTATGAGTCGGTGTTCAGCAACCCACTAAATGACAGCAAGGTAGAAAATACAGAAATATTTTTCACTCCGGAAGAAGGCTGCACAGACCAACTAACTGACATTAGTACAAATCCCATAGATTTTGAAAAAGAAATGGAAAACATGCCCACTCACTCAGCACCTGGACCAGATTCATGGAATACTCTATTTATAAAGAAGTGGCTACTACATTCTGTAGTAGCCACTAACCACTTCCTCTGTACTGGACATGTCCATTTGTGAGGTTCAGGATATCAACTCATGCCACACCTTTCCCCATAGTTATCCTTACCATTACTTTTCCACTATTCACCCTAGCACGAGCCCTCAGTATTCTTTGGAGAAAGAGCTTAGAACTAGGTGAAATACCGGAGGCCTTAAAGAGTGCAGACATAGCTCCTTTGCACAAAGGAGGTAGTAGAGCGCTAGCTAAAAATTACAGACCAGTAGCCCTAACCTCTCACATCATAAAAATCTTCGAAAGAGTGATGAGACGGCAGGTTACAAATCTCATGGACCAGCACAACCAACATAACCCGAACCAGCATGCTTTTAGAGCAGGACGATCATGTTGGTCACAGCTGGTGAACCATTATGACAGAATTACGGAGGCACTGGAAGATGACCAAAACGCAGATGTGATTTACACAGATTTTGCAAAGGCGTTTGACAAATGCGATCATGGAGTGATAGCACACAAAATGAAGGCCATGGGCATTACGGGGAAGGTAGGCAGATGGATTTTCGGTTTCCTAACACACAGAACACAAAAAGTAGTAGTGAACAGGGCAAGATCCAGCATCAGCGAGGTCAAAAGCTCAGTGCCCCAAGGCACTGTCCTGGCACCTCTGCTGTTCCTCATCCTTATAGCAGACATAGGAAAAAACATCCGGCACACTTTTGTATCATTATTTGCAGATGACACTAAAATAAGCATGAAAGTCAGTACAGTAGAGGACACTGAAAAAGTACAGGAAGACATAAACAGGGTTTTCCAGTGGGCAGTGGAAAACAACATGACGTTCAATGGTGATAAGTTCCAGCTGCTTAGGTATGGAAAGAATGAAGAACTCAAAAGGAGCACTATATACAAAATTCAAGAGGGTCACCAAATAGAACGTAATGAACACGTAAAAGACCTAGGAATAATTATGTCAGCGGACCTTTCTTTTAAAGACCATAACAAGACAAAGATCACGACAGCCAGGAAGATGACTGGGTGGGTAATGAGAACTTTCAAAACAGGGGAAACAATGCCGATGGTGACACTCTTCAAATCGCTAGTGCTCCCTCAATTAGAATATTGCTCAGTGCTGACGGCCCCATTCAGGGCAGGAGAAATATCGGAGCTGGAACAAATACAGAGATCGTTTATGGCACACATTGAGCCAGTAAAGCACCTAAACTACTGGGAACGCCTGCAAGTCTTGAACATGTACTCATTGGAGCGGAGGAGAGAGAGGTACATGATAATATATACCTGGAAGGTACTCGAGGGCTTGGTCCCAAATCTGCACACTGCCATAACAACATACTGGAGTGAGAGATATGGGAGGAAGTGTAAAATAAACCCAGTGATGAGCAGGGGTGCGGTGGGGACAATAAGGGAACACTGTATCAACATCCAGGATCCCAGACTTTTCAACATCTTACCAGAAGATATCAGAAACACTGCTGGAACATGTGTTGAAGCCTTCAAGACGAAGCTAGACAAGTATCTTCACCAGGTGCCAGATCAACCAGGCTGTGATGGATATGTGGGGCAGCGGGCCTCCAGCAGCAACAGCTTGTATTGTGTGTAAGAATGGTATATAATACCGACAAGATGAAAATAAGATGGATGGAGAAACGTCTACATTAAAGATACCCAGATGTTGCACATGTGTCTTAATTTCAGCTTGTATTGTAGATGAATGGTTCACAGAACCGACATGTTGATAAATTAGACACATGTGCAACTCTTGGGTATCTTTATTAAGGAAACGTTTCGCCACACAGTGGCTTCATCAGTCCATACACAGGAGAAACTTGAAGAACAGGAGGAGAATGAGGTAATCAGTCCCTCAACCTTGAGTCGATGTGGTCAGTCCATCAGTCTTGAATAGAATACGGCATATGAGCTGAGAAGCAGCTTATATACCGTAGGCAGGAGAGGTGCAGCAGTCGTAGGTGGTGTCACATTTGTCCAATGTGGAAGTAGGTCGTGTCCAAGGGTTAGGCAAGCGAAGAATTCCCAAGTATTAAGATCCCAAGAAGTTGCAGTGCCTGACAGGATTGTAGATGAATGGTTCACAGAGCCGACATGTTGATAAATTAGACACATGTGCAACTCTTGGGTATCTTTATTAAGGAAACGTTTTGCCACACAGTGGCTTCATCAGTCCATACACAGGAGAAACTTGAAGAACAGGAGGGTCTTAATATTTGGGAATTCTACGCTTGCCTAACCCTTGGGTACGACCTACTTCCACATTGGGCAAATGTGACACCACCTACGACTGCTGCACCTCTCCTGCCTACGGTATATAAGCTGCTTCTCAGCTCATATGCCGTATTCTATTCAAGATTGATGGACTGACCTCATCGACTCAAGGTTGAGGGACTGATTACCTCATTCTCCTCCTGCTCTTCAAGTTTCTCCTGTGTATGGAATGATGAAGCCACTGTGTGGCAAAACGTTTCCTTAATAAAGATACCCAAGAGTTGCAGATGTGTCTAATTTATCAGCAACAGCCTGGTTGACCAGGCGAGCACCAGATGAGCCTGGCCCCTGGCCGGGCTCAGAGAGTAGGTATACTCTCGAAATTCTGCAAAGGCACCAACCATACCCCACTGAGGCAGGGTGGCCCAAAAGGAAAAACAAGTTTCTCCTTTTAAATTAAGTAATACGTATATACAGGAGAAGGAGTTATTAGCCCCTTGCTCCCGGCATTTTAGCCGCCTCTTACAACACGCATGGCTTATGGAGGAAGTATTCTATTCCACTTAGGACCAACCAGTCCTAAGTCAAAATGGACGAAAGTCGAACCTTACTACTGAATATCACATTAAGTAACGATTTTATTTTATTGTTTTATTTTAGTATTTCATTTTTTACTTTACTTTTTATACTGTTAGTACTGTACTTTATACTGTAAGGTTTAGGAGAAACACAGTGTAAAACACAAATACAGTGGACCCCCGACTTACAATATTAATTCATTCCAGAAGTCTGTTCGGGTGCCGATACTGAACGAATTTGTTCCCATAAGAAATATTGTAAATTAGATTGGTCCGTTTCAGACCCCCAAAAATACACGTACAAAAGCACTTACAAAAATACACTTACATAATTGTTCAAGTTGGGAGGTGATCATAAGTCAGGGGTTCACTGTAGATGTTTATTTCCCAAAACATCTGCATACGAAACATGGTCGTAAGTCGAGTGGTCATATGTCATGCCAGTCATAAGTCGGATGGTAGGTGTATATGCTTGTATATGCAAGTTCAGTGTGACCTAAGTGTAAGTAGAAGTAGCATGATGTACCTGAAATCTTGCATGTTTACAAGACAGACAAAAGACACCAGCAATCCTACCATCATGTAAAACAATAACAGGCTTCTGTTTTACCCTCACTTGGCAGGACGGTAGTACCTCCCTGGGCGGTTGTTGTCTACAAAATTACTACCACAGGACAGCAGTACCTCTCTGGGCAGTTGCTGTCTACCAAACTACTACAAGATGGTAGTACCTCTCTGGGCAGTTGTTGTCTACCAACCTACTAACACAGGATAGTACCTCCCTGGGTGGTTGCTGTCTACCAACCTACCACCATAGGATGGTAGTACCTCCCTGGGAAGTTGCTGTCTACCAACTTACTACCACAGGATGGTAGTGCTACCCTGGGTGGTTGATGTCTACCAACCTACTACCACAGGAGGGTAGTAAGGCCCTAGGTGGTTGATGTCTACCAACCTACTACCACAGGAGGGTAGTACCTCCCTGGGTGGTTGCTGTCTACCAACCTACTACCACAGGATGGTAGTATCTCCCTGGGTGGTTGCTGTCTACCAACCTACTACCACAGGATGGTAGTACCTCCCTGGGTGTTTGTCTACCAACCTACTACCACAGGAGGGTAGTACCTCCCTGGGTGGTTGCTGTCTACCAACCTACTACCACAGGATGGTAGTACCTCCCTGGGTGTTTGTTGTCTACCATCCTACTACCACAGGATGGTAGTACCTCCCTGGGTGGTTGTTGTCTACCAACCTACCACAGGATGGTAGTACCTCCCTGGGTGGTTGCTGTCTACCAACCTACTACCACAGGATGTTAGTACCTCCCTGGGTGGTTGCTGTCTACCAACCTACTACCACAGGACGGTAGTACGACCCTAGGTGGTTGCTGTCTACCAACCTACTACCACAGGATGGTAGTACCTCCCTGGGTGGTTGCTGTTTACCAACCTACTACCACAAGACGGTAGTACAACCCTGGGTGGTTGCTGTCTACCAACCTACTACCACAGGATGGTAGTACCTCTCTGGGCAGTTGTTGTCTACCAACCTACTAACACAGGATAGTACCTCCCTGGGTGGTTGCTGTCTACCAACCTACCACCATAGGATGGTAGTGCTACCCTGGGTGGTTGATGTCTACCAACCTACTACCACAGGAGGGTAGCAAGACCATAGGTGGTTGATGTCTACCAACCTACTACCACAGGAGGGTAGTACCTCCCTGGGTGGTTGCTGTCTACCAACCTACTACCACAGGATGGTAGTACCTCCCTGGGTGGTTGCTGTCTACCAATGTACTACCACAGGATGGTAGTACCTCCCTGGGTGTTTGTTGTCTACCAACCTACTACCATAGGAGGGTAGTACCTCCCTGGGTGGTTGCTGTCTACCAACCTACTACCACAGGATGGTAGTACCTCCCTGGGTGTTTGTTGTCTACCAACCTACTATCACAGGATCATAGTACCTCCCTGGGTGTTTGTTGTCTACCAACCTACTACCACAGGATCGTAGTACCTCCCTGGGTGGTTGTTGTCTACCAACCTACTACCACAGGAGGGTAGTACCTCCCTGGGTGGTTGTTGTCTACCAACCTACTACCACAGGATGGTAGTACCTCCCTGGATGTTTGTCTACCAACCTACTACCACAGGATGGTAGTACCTCCCTGGGTGGTTGCTGTCTACCAACCTACTACCACAGTATGGTAGTACCTCCCTGGGTGTTTGTTGTCTACCAGCCTACTACCACAGGATGGTAGTACCTCCCTGGGTGTTTGTTGTCTACCAACCTACTACCACAGGATGGTAGTACCTCCCTGGGTGGTTGTCTACCAACCTACTACCATAGGAGGGTAGTACCTCCCTGGGTGGTTGTTATCTACCAACCTACTACCACAGGATGGTAGTACGACCCTGGGTGGTTGCTGTCTACCAACCTACTACCACAGGACGGTAGTACGACCCTGGGTGGTTGCTGTCTACCAACCTACTACCTACCAGTTGTAAAAATAGAAAGCACAAAATTTAGCCTTTTGTTTTTTCCAAAAATGGCAGCATTGTTGCTGTTAGAAAAATATTCAATACTCTGAGGGTAGGACAGAGAGAGGGCAGGAGAAAGATAGTTGAGAAAAACAAAATTAAAATCACTCTAATTCAAAGATGGGTTCTGCTTAAATACTTTAATTTCTTATCTCAAAAAAAAAAAAAAAAAAAAAAAAAAGTGGTTAATCTGTCATAAAAGAATACAATTTTTTTTTTATTTATAGCAGACATCAATTCACAATACCATCAAAACTGAAGAAAATGAAATCCAATTGATAATCATAATTTTCAAGAATTAAAACTGAGTGACCTAATAATTATGATGATTACAGTAAAAAATTGTGTCAAGCATATTACAGTACAGGTGTTTTGTTTTAAAAAAAAACTTTCTATAGCATTCTTTTAACAAAAACAAAATATGCAACTTGTAGAGATGAAACATACCCTAGTTTCTTGGTCTCCAATAAGACACACTGCACGTAATGAGGGACACCATCTCTTGAACTCGTTCTCCCAGTTACGAAGTGTAGATTTTGGCACAATGACCATGTGAGGCCCAGGAATGTTGCGGAAATGTTTCATGTACCTACAAGGAGAATGCAATTATGAAGATGCTGGAAATCACGAACTCTTTGAGGAAAAGTAAAGCAAATATATAAATTATCATATCAAAGAAAATACATAGATTATCAAATCAAAGAAAATACAGTGGTTCCTCAAGTTACGAACTTAATTTGTTCCAGAAGGCTGTTCGAATGCCGATACCGAACGAATTTGTTCTCATAAGGAATAATGTAAATTAGATTAGTCCGTTTCAGACCCCCAAAAATATACTTACAAAAGCACTTACAAAAATACACTTACATAATTGTTCGAGTTGGGAGCTGATCGAAATTCAAGGTACCACAGTACATAGATTATCATATCAAAACAAATACAGTGGACCCTCGACTAACGATATTAATTCGTTCCAGAAAAGAGGAGGAAGTCCAAGCAAATACGTTGAGGGGACGTGTCTTTGCTCAAATCATTCGAGCAAAGAAGCTTCCCTTGAACATATTTGCTTGGAAGTTCTACTCTTCTTTGCAACACTGCAAACTCGTGATGTTGTGTTGATTGCACCACATAAGGACTAGAGCTATCATTCAACTCCCTCCATGGTTATTTTGCATCTGTATCGCCTGTTTGCAATTTTTGCATACATTATATCGATAGGGTAGTGCTAAACCTGGGAATGTGAGGATATTGAGACTACAGTGAGATTAAATGAGACAAAAATGAGCTACGTTAAAACAAGGAACAGGGAAAAACTATTTCATTTATATTTTGCAAAATGAAAGCATTTATATTTCCTTTTGCAGTATCTATAATCCTGCTTTAATTTATATTAAAAAAGAAAGAGAAAATGAATATTAATGATATATATGACTTCCAGTCGCCATGGGGAAGTGGAACAGAATTCTTCCTCCGTAAGTCATGCGTGTTGTAAGAGGCGACTAAAATGCACGACTAAAATGCAGGGGGCAAGGGGTTAGTAACCCCTTCTCCTGTAAATATTACTAAATTTATAAAGAAAAACTTTTGTTTTTCTTTTTGGGCCACCCTGCCTCAGTGGAATACGGTTTATTGAAAGAAGATGACTTCCAGTATAACAAACACAAAACATTTATTTGAACAAGAAATAAAAATTCATGAAAAAAATTCAGCAATCTTACCCAAGGAGGGAAATAGTCTGCAGTGTTTTCCCCAGACCCATCTCATCAGCAAGAATGCCATTAATTCCGTTTTCGTACAAGTCAATCATCCAATTGAGGCCTCGAATTTGGTAGTCACGCATTTCTCCATTTACAATATAACTAGGGCTCTCCTCAAAGCGGGTAATTATCTTAGATGATTTGTTGGACTCTGCCAGCAATTCCTCATCTTCTTCCTGTTCTGTCATGCGATGGCGATGGCTGAGAGAGAACAAACACAAGAGTAAACTTTTACCACATACTAATAATTGAATTTTTCAGCTAGGAGACACTCACTAAAATTTTGGCCTGGGTTTTCACTAAATAAAATAAAATAAAAAAAAAAGCTCAATATATATATAAATAAATAAATACTCAAGATTTGTGTGGAATTTAAATACCATGCTGCAAACCATTCAGTAAATTACAGTGAGTAATGAACACAAACTATAATTAATAATAAATAGTTATTAATGAATAAATTTTTTATAAGCAACAGTTACATTGGCCCATATATTAACTAGTCAATTTCGGCAGTAATTCAATGGAGTAACCAGGATTGGAAATTGCAGCCTCTGATTACCAGCCAGCTGCCACCAGTCCCCCGTAACCCCAAAGCTTGGGTTTGAATCCTGATCCCTCCATTAAATTATTACATTCGTTCATTACAAATTTTCATGACACTGGCCAACAATACTCCTAATGAAAACCCTGGAAGTTTACTAAGTGTAACCCCTGAAGGATCTAAAACAATAAATAACACTGTCCAAGGTGGCTCAGAAAATTGCTGCAACAGTTCTGCAATTAAACATTTATATCTACGATTATCACATTAAAAACTATTAAAGAATAAGTTACAAACCATGGCTGGAACAATTCATTATTTACCCAAAAATATTAAGAGGAAATTTTAGGCGACATCTCAATCCATCCAAGACCAAACCATGGAAGGGGTGAGGTTTGAACCCATGGCAAGTGAGTCCTAAAATTCACAGGCCATTGCATTTAATCACTCAGTCAGGGGATTTGAGCTAGAGTTCACCTGTACATATTTGTGGTCACAGTGGGGACCATGCAAACCTCTCTTTGGTGTTTAGAAATATACCTAGAGCCAGCTGGCACAGTGGTTAACACACTGGCCTGTGAGCTGTAGGACTCACCACAGGTTCAAACCTCACCCATTCCGTGGTTTGCTTGCAATCGTGCTATTACAATTTCACGACCCTTAATAATGATCCAGGACATATTGAAACAGCATGTAAAGTTTCCTCTCCAAAATTACACATTGAGTTACTGCATTGTATTTCATTTAGTTATCAATAATAAAAAGAAATCTAACTGTGACAAATGAATCCCAATTTTCATCTCAACTGTAAACAAGAGGTGAAAACTGAAATTTGTGGTCATAATGTGGTAATAAAATTCAAGGTAGATTAAGCAATATTATAATAGGAAGTATTCAGCATTAATAATTAATCATGTGACTGAAACCTTACCCAATATCTGGTAGCTGTAGAACATGCTATAACCAAAGGCACATCTATACCATACAAGAATGCAACAGAATACACCAAGTTTATCTACCATATAGACCACTTCTCCCTTCACTCTACTTGCTGAAGACTAGAGTAACTTTGTCAGCGTAGCTCCAACTAGTAGTAAACAATGGGTGTGGACATACCACACTATTCCAGTTTTAATACATGATAATTGTCTGAATACAAACTACCCAATATTATCCAATTTTGAGAATAAAATTGAGGGGCATCGCCAATGTCACTGGTCAATACTTCAGATGCTAAGAAATATCAGGAATTGTCAACGTTCTTTCTACATTCTACCATTCCAAAAGAACAAATTTCCACCACCAGGTATAAACATGCTCCTGGCAAAGACCTTCAATCAGCCAGAGAAGAGGGGAAAACATCAATTAGGAGTTGACTATGACAATTCCTTTCTACCTTCTTGCAGATTAGGTAAAGGTAAGGTGACTTACTCGGCGGCTGCGGACGATAGCTTCTTCACGCGGCTAGAAAGAAAAAGCAAGAAAAAAATAATAACACCTGGTTTGTGCCAATGAGAAGCGAGTACATTCACAGTTTCAGGATGCCTTCTCTTCTCAGATCAGATATTAATAAATGCAGAAACACAGTTGGGATGCATAACCTGAATACACTGATCAAAATTTCACCTTTACATTTCATTGAATGAAAAGAACTTTTATGAAAAAAAAAAAATCACTTTCAAGCCCATCAGTAATTTGTAAATATCCATTAAATAGTTGATTTTGTCTCTTCCTATTTTTACAAGCGACACCTTTTATTTTTACATGCAATGACAGAATTGAAATCGCCTATTTTTCCCATATTCTAATAGCAGTAAATATGTTCATGAGAGCCTCTCAAGATTAAGGAATAATGACCTTGAGCACACCTTTACCTTTGATAAGTTCTGAGAATTTTTTCTACTCCTGGAGCCAGGCCATGGGCCAGGCTCATCACATAAAAAATCCTTTATCAATTTCCTTCATCTCAATGCTAACATAACCTGTAATTTCAAGGTTACTGGCAATGGCTTTTATCTCTATTTTTATGAAACAAAAGAATCAATTTATTGGTATCCTGAAATTATCAAGACTTTCTTTTTTGATTAATAACTAATGTAATGACTAATATGGAAGCTCTGCTACACATCTGAACAGTTATCTAGATGAATATCTACATGTCTGGCTATCTACATGCTGTTGATAGCCAGACTAATACATCCCCTTTATATGTTAACAATAGGACCTTCCTCATGCCACCTCTACAACCCTAACCTGAATTTATGAACTTCTTAATGGACAATATTGTCTCTCTCTCCTCTTATTTTTTTCACAACCCATCTATACTTAAAAATAAGTCTAAAATGTTTCCTTTTCAAGAGCTTAATTAGCTCACAACCTAAAGATCCCAAGTTAGAATTCTGGGAAGGGTGAATTATATAGGTAAGTCACCATACACCCTCTTCCATTCAAATAGCTGTAAATACATACGTGTGTTGTGTTTTGCAAGTTAAACAAATTTGGGTACATCACCAGTGTACTGCTACCCTAATCTGTATGACAGTTATATAGTCAGAACAAAAGCTATCTATGGAAAAAACACAAGTGCATTATAATGTGATCCTTTAGTCAATGTTAATGTTGCAGTTTAAAAACTGTAGTGTAAAGCACCCTTCTGGCAAGACAGTGATGGAGTGAATGTTGGTGAAAGTTTTTCCTTTTCGGGCCACCCTGCCTTTGTGGGAATCGGCCAGTGTGATAATAATAAAAAAAAAAAAATAATAATAATATCCTCTTCATACCTTCGTCGAACTGCTCAGTGTTATGCCAAATATTATTTATTCTGGAATATTTAACATGTTTTATGTTATTTATATTGTTTATTATGTCATATTGGATCAATTGTGATAGGCAAATAAGCTGTAGTGTTGATATTAGCGTAATAATAAAGCATATTCTCCTGCTTCGTGAGACTGAGCTCATGGCAACCGACAGTGGCTTCAAAGCCACCTTATCTTTAATGGATAATGTACTGTGTAGGTGCTTTACATAATGAGAAGCATTTCTTTTATTCATTGGAACCATGGCTAGGGCTAAAAGTAAACAGGTTAAAACAATAAATGGAGAAAAAGAAATTGGAATGACTTATGCAGCAAGTAGCGCCACCAAACAGTACCAGCAGGTTGGTGTGGCGACCCTGGAAATTTGAAATTATGCTAGCCAAAATTAGTGCCAAATAACTGAAGGAACCGAATAACTGATTGCCGGATTTGTGATGGCGGACCTGTACCTGTTATTTCTCATTATTTGTTTGTACTTTATATTTTTTAACATTATGGCTGTCTTCCACCAAGGTAGGGTTAAATGAAAAAGAAAAAAATGCCACCAACCATTTCCTGATTGTTTTGCTAGAGATATGCTGACATTACAGTTCAGATGCCCCTCCGAATTACAATATCTCCACCCCTCCTTCGTAGTACAAGCACTGTACTTCTCACCTCTAAGACTCAAGACCAAGTAATCAGTTTTCCCTGAATCCCTTGGTCATTGTCCAACAACACATAAAAACCCCTTTGCCTTTACTCACTCCTCTTGGATGTCGTAGCTCCTCACACAAAAACTCCCTTAACCCCCACTCTCCAACCTTTCATAGGATGCTCCCTACCCTGCTTTTCCTCCACTACAGATTTATACATCCTCCAAGTCATCCCATTCTGATCCATCCATCCTCTCTGAATGTCGAAACCATGTAGACAACCCCTCTCCAGACTTTTGGATAATATTTTTAGTAACCCTGCACCTCCTAATCTCCAAACTACAAATTCTCTGCATAATATTCCCATCACACACTGCCCTCAGAAACAACATCTCCACTGCCTCCTGCCTTCTCCTTGCTGCTTCACACCCATATGAGTGTGTTGGTACCACTATACTCTGATACATTCAACTTTAGTCCTCCCTGGATAACGTTCTGTCTTCACAGATGCATACATTCATGCATACATACGTGCACAGATACACCATTTCCAAAACTGATGGCCCAGTACCCCTTTTAGTCTGGACAAAAATATGAGGACACTTGAAATTTCTGCAACTGCCAGACTAGTTTACTGGGTGGACACAAATGGCCTTGTGAAGTGTATGCTCAACTGTTTATACTGCAGATTATGGTGGTAATCCCCGATTTTGTGTGATTATAATTATTAGCTCAGTTTGCCTACATTTAACCCTAGCTATGGCTATTAGGAAAGATGCAAGTGTCAGTGGTGTAAATAACAAAAAGGCACAATACCGTGACTGGAACGATACACAAATAACCCGCACATAAAAGACAGAAGCTTACGACGACGTTTCGGTCCGACTTGGACCATTGACAAAGTCACACTGTGTGACTTTGTCAATGGTCCAAGTCGGACCGAAACGTCGTCGTAAGCTTCTGTCTTTTATGTGCGGGTTATTTGTGTGTCAGTGGTGTAGCTGAAAGATGGCTTACTATTGACAAATTAATCCAGTTGTCAGATGAATTAATCCAAGGGCTAGAACAACATACTTTTGTGATGGAACAGGAGCTAACGAATCTTTATTTGATGTATGAAAAATTACAAAGGGGCAGATCAAAGCACATGGAACGACCTCACTTGGATGAAATATTTAAAAAGATTAGCTTGACACTTGACAGTTAAAGTAAAATTCTAAATTCTGCCACTTTGGGAGTGGTAGTACTGTAACATTCTTTATAAGTACAGGTGCTCCTCAAGTTACGATAAGGTTGCATTACCACAAACCCATCGTAGGTCAAAAATATCCTAAGTTGAATATGAATATGTACTAAATAAATAAATATTGTCACTGAATAAGTAAATAAACAAATAATTAGTTACTAAATACAGTGGACCCCCGATTAACGATATTTTTTCACTCCAGAAGTATGTTCAGGTGCCAGTACTGACCGAATTTGTTCCCATAAGAAATATTGTGAAGTAGATTAGTCCATTTCAGACTCCCAAACATACACGTGCAAATGCACTTACATAAATACACTTACATAATTGGTCACATTCTGAGGTAATCGTTATGCGGGGGTCCACTGTACCAGTATTGAAAAATAAATGAATGAATACAAATCATGAACTTGCTGCCTTCATGCTGGGTAATTATCTTAAGTTTCATCTCCAAATTGTTTTTGCACCATCGTAAAGTCAAAATATCCTAAGTCGAACCATCGTAAGTCAAGGAGCACCCGTACAGTAATTAACAAATCTTAGTGCTTTAGAAATATGAGAGATGTATTTAAAGTAAAAGGACACAAGTGCAACTAATGTGACATTTATTGTGGCAATGTTTTGCTCTCCAGGAGCTTTATCAAGCCTTTATCAAGCTTGATAAAGCTCCTGGAGAGCGAAATGTTGCCACAATAAATGTCACATTAGTTGCACTTGTGTCCTTTTACTTTACATATTGTCGGTAATTCTACCAACTTTATTACGAGAGATGTATTGATGAATTATTATGATGTGAACTCTGTTGGTCTAGCAAAATGGATAATCCAGCAAGGCTGTAGAACGTGATTGTGCCTGTAAACACAGATTCTTGAAGAAATGCAGAATTTCAGACGGGTTTGGAGAAAGATCAAGAAGCAGCACTCTTATTCGACAGCAAATGTTAATGCATTACAACATTCAACTGCTGAACTCCAGACCAATAACCTGCACTACCTACCTAGTCTGCATGCAGACCACTCTCATCCAAGCCATCCTTTATATCATTATTTATGTGAAGCCACAAACTTAATCAGCTTTTTTTTTTCAGAAAGACTAAATGCAGGATGAAGCTTAAGAAAACAGTCCATGTCAATAATGGCACATTTAGTATATCCAGTTTATGAAAACTTTAATCATGAAAAACTTGTCATAAAATGGCACTGTCTTCACAAATACAGTGGAACCTCAAATATCGAACTTTCTTCATTCCAGAAGGCTGATCGAGTGCCTTTACCGAATGAATTTATTCCCATCAGGAATAATGTAAATTAGATTAGTCCATTTCAGATCCTCAAAAATACACTTATAAAAGCACTTACAAAAATACACCTACATAATTGGTTGTGTTGGGAGCAGTTCGATTTGAGGTTCCACTGTACCTAAATTCAGAGTGAACAGTTTCATACAGCAGGAGCAAGATAAACTCGAGTCAGTGATCAGAAAGCAGCATCCTCACTGACAACCCAAACCACATAGCAAACACCACAGGAGTAAAGCAGTCTAGCATCAATAATTGCCATCCACATCTGTCACCAAGAACAGAAAAAACAAGTACAGCCTCGTCTCACTTAACGACAGAGTTCCGTTCCTAAGACCACGTTGGTAAATGAATTTGTTGCTAAGTGAGGAGTATACTATAATGGTAGTGGGTTTGTGTCAACCATCTTTGATATTGTTTTACTGTCACCTTTGCACCATTTATAACATTTCTGATATATTTTTAAA